ACGATCGAGAACTATAGATTCGAGGAAAGCCTGTCACAATTTAACTCCGCCTCGCTCTCGAGTTCGAACAAAGTTACTGGCGGAGCCTCGGAGATGCCTATTAAATGTTATATCAGGTTCGCTGCAACAGCGGTAGAACTGACGAAGAGGTTTAACGTGGCCCATAAATCTGTTACGATATAGAATTTGTTTGGCGGAAAGTTTATCGGATAATAAAACAAAACGAGCCTTAAATGGCAGGTACCGAGACGCGATTGGCGGTTAATAATTCTTCCGAATGCGTTCCGGATCAGAGGAAGCTCTTCTAAATCTTTCTTACGAAAGTCGATTTGAAGTTCTGCATCTTCCAGAATTAAATGAGAATGGAGATTTCCAAGTCTCGACAGCGAACGCGAATTATTGAGATCGTTCTCCGCCTTTTCCTTGATTTTGTTCGCCGACGATCGGTCAACGAAAAATTTGTAGATGAATCAGTTAGTAGATAAATTAGTTAGTACATGAATCGTAGATGAATTTGTATTATCAATGTTTATAATTACTGACCGGAAATGGCGAAATTATTGCACCGTCTTCCAGACCTTGCGTCTCAGAAGTGCATCGCTCAAATACATTTTCAAACGTCTGAAATCGGGCTGTGTTCGGGATCGTTTTTCTAAAATAATTACCAGACGAAAAATTCGAAATTTCCTCGAGCACGTAGATGGATCTTTTAGCTTCCTATTTTGCAATGATTGAAATGTAAAAATGTTGAAAAATGCTGGAGTAACACGCTACATTCGAAATCTCATTTTCTAGCAGCATTAACCAAGTACAGCATTGTCCGAGTTCTGAAACTAGATTTATTCCTGACATAACTACCGAACGCAGAAATTCTGAACATTTTGGAAGCTGTAGACACATCTTCTAGCTTCCTATAGCAATTTTAGAAATGCAAAAATGTTTGGAAGCAGCAGAGTTATTCGACAGTTTCGAAACTTTGTTTCCCGAGACCTCTTATGCATTATTCGAGTACAACATGCGTGCCAAACTTTGGGAATTTTTGCACGGATAATTACTTAACAAAAGATTCCTAAACATTTAGGAAACATAGTTGGAACCTTCAGGTTTCTCTGTCAATTTTTGGAAAGCAAGAAATTCTCCATCAATTTTTGAAAACACCAGAGGCGTTCGATCAAGAATCGGACGTCCAACAGCTCGAGCCAGATTCATCATTGAGCTGCGCAAGGTCAAAGACAAAGCTCTCCCATCCCTGGAAGATCCAGTGGGCGGCAATTAGACAGCATGGAAGAGAGAGTACAGGGGTGTTGGCCGGTCGTTTGTCTTAATAAAGTGCGTCGAAGGCACGCTCCTCACGACCGCTGACTTATGGCTAGTCATCCGACTGTCTCAGCCATCCCCATCGGCTGTTCCCAACAGTTTTTCTTCGCTAGAGGCGGCGATGGCGGTTCGGCCGATATTCAGAAGGGTTCCCTAAGTCCCGAGGCCGTTAACCCTGGCCACTGGGCTCATCAATCGAAGGAGGGTAGCCGGTTAACGATGCCGAACATTCGTCATCGACGGGATCCTCCCAGATCCGGCGGTTCGTTCTCGTTTCACCCTCTTTTAACTTCGATCGTACGCCCTTGAATGGAGCTCCTCGAGGCCAGTCGATGGTTCCCTGAATCCTTATTGTCAATTACAGAGGTATCGAGCATCTGGGGGAAATTTTGAACCGGCCTTTTCGCGCTTTCCATTCATACCTATTCAATAAGCCGCCAGGACCGCGTAACAGGCACTTAGATAACGACTATTTCGAGATGGTTGTTAGCAGTTTCGCTGAAAATAAGGAACAGCATAGCGTAGCGTGTAGGTAATTAGTGGAAGTTTAAGTCATGATTTCGTCGATTTCGAATTTCTTTGCAAAATAACGTACTTCAAAGCTTTACGAGTTCCGAATCTTCACGGTACACGTGTTCATTTTTACGAAACTAGATTATCTTCAGGCTTATGGATGATCGCCGATGATCCGATTCGGTCGATGTCGTTTTTATATCGATCAGGTAGGTTTATCCTATCGCTAAAAATTTGTCCCGCCCATAAACGAATATTTGAAAATACGATCCAACAAAATCTTCAATAATCCTCGCTGTACGAGAACTGTCCAACCACTGCAGTATTCAATAGCCCATATTTTATGAACAAATTCGAAGCTGATGACTTGCTGACATAAACCCTCTCTAATTTCCCTCGCGCAACATCATAGTGTACCGCGCTTTCAGCAAAATCCCCGGATACGACGAAAAAATTGGTAAACGATATCGTCGACGAAATTGAAAGCTCGATAGGACCGGCTCGGGCAAAATCACCGGGCACAGAGATTATCGTCTGGTGGACGAGGAGGTCTGACTGATTAGCGGTAAAGTGTGCCCAGCAGGGGATGAATAAAAACAAACAGGTCCCCGGGAGAGTTCGCCGTTCCCTGTCGATTTGCATCAGCCGTCCGGGACCGCAATTCGTCGCGACAATTAATACGGAACGGGCAAGGATTTCGCTGCCTTCGTTCGCCGCTGCATAATTCCTGCATTAACCTTATACATTTATTCCGGCCCCTTAATGCCGAAGTTTATTTCAAGTTGCCCGCGAAGTTTGTTTAAAACGCCACGCCGGCGCGCTTATGGAAATACCGCGACTTCTTTTCGTCGCCGGGACAAACCACGGTTGAATATTCAGCAGAGATGTTTGCGCGCGTGCGCCAAGTACTCGTCTTTCACCTATCGACGTCAAAAACGTCCCCTTCGTGACGATTACGAGCGATATCGCTAAGCCCGGACGGAACGGGTTCGACTTCTTAGCGATTTCCCCCGTCGTTTCCACCCTTATGGCACTCGAGCCGCTTAAACCCCGGCCCGTCCCGCCGGCTCGGACCGATTTGCATAAATAAACAATTATTCTCGGCCATTGTTTTCAAGTGGCGGCTGCGGCGTGGATAAATATCGGCCGATAAATATTCAAGATTCCCGAACAGAGCCCCTTTCACCTCCTTCTCGCCTGCACCCCGCTACTCCGGTCGGTCACCGAATGATTTATCATTCGAATCGTGAGTGTACAGCTTGAACCAGGCTAGAGAATATTGGGTCAATCATGCTCTAAGAAATTGCTGTCCGATTTAAACTGCTACAGTCGCGCTAGTAACGACGCTCGATCTGACGAAATTGGAATCGGGTAAACTTCGAGAATTTTTTTACAGGAGATTAGTCGCCGAAAAATTGCGACATTTTTACGAGATGTAGACGCATCTTTCGCCTTTTCACAGCAATTTTTTAAATGTAAATGTGTTGAGAAATAACGGTGTAATTCGCCAATTTCGGGACACTGTTTTTCGACAGCATCTCCGCATCATTCAAACACTACATGGAAAGCGAGCAGAGTTCGGGATTTTTTCCTAGTAAATTACCGAATGAAAAATTCCGACATTTTTACAGAATGTAGACGCATCTTTTGCCTTTCTATAGCAATTTTTCGAATATAAAAGTGTTGAGAAATAACGGTGTAATTCGCCAATTTTGGAACATTGTTTTTTCGACAGCATCTCCGCATCATTCAAGCGCTACTCGAAAAGCGAGAGAAGTTCGGGATTTTTTCCTAGTAAATTAATGAATGACAAATTCCGACATTTTTACAGGATGTAGACGCATCTTTTGCCTTTCTACAGCAATTTTTCAAACATAAAAGTGTCGAGAAATAACGGTGAAATTTGCCAATTTTGAAACATTGTTTTTTCGACAGCATCTCCGCATCATTCAAGCACTACTCGAAAAGCGAGCGAAGTTCGGGATTTTTTCCTAGTAAATTTCTAAATGAAAAATTCTGACAATTTTAAGTAACATATAGATGCATTCTTCGGTTTTCCATACAACTTTTCGGAACGATAAAATCTTGGGAAATGACGGAGTAATTCGCCACTTTCGAAGCGTCCGTGTACGGTTCTGCGACGCGCGTCGACCTTAAGACTGCAATTCGCGGGAACGTGTGCCGACATTGGCTCGATAGCGATCTTCCGGTCGACTCGGAGTCAAGAATGCGGCAGCACGGGCGGCGTTCGAACGGAGGAACAAGAATTACGCGCGTAGATCCTGTGTCGACGGAAATCCATGCGATTATCCGGCTGCGTCGCGCCACGATCCACGGAAAATTTGTTGCCCGCCTCGGAATGCGGTTTCGCTCGATTTCTCCGCTTGTTACACCGTCCCGGTGAGCAAGCTGCTGTTTACACGATGAATCTCAGCCTGCGGTTCCCCGATCTCTGCTTCTCCAACAGAATTGCCCGTTGATAGGAGTCTGCGACTCGAAACGCAAATAAAATAGAATATTAACCGGGGCACGGCTGCGCTTCGGTGTTCGTTCTCGAAACAAATAGAATTTTCAATGCAGAAACGAATGCATGTTAACAATAATTAACCGCGTTATTTCTGCGTATTCGGAGGCGCATCTCTCTTCTACAGATTTATGAGAAATGAAGGGAATTGCGGTTCAATGATTGGCCCTTCGAACTCGAATGGCGAGTTAATAAAAGAAATAGTAAAATAAATAATAATAAAATAAAATTTACCATTCCGTAATTTCAAACAATTCTTATATCACCGTTTGTATTTAATAAATCTCTAAAAATCGAACTGTCCAAAAAGAGAATAAAGATCGAGAAAGGTTAGAAATCTTGTACATCTCAAGAAACGTCTCGATGTTTGTAATTAAAGCGTCTTCGAGTGCAAACCGTTAAGAGACTTGGGATAATCAAATTTTTGAAACCCAGATCTGGAATTATTAATCGAGCCTTTCAGCATAAGTCCCGTTTCTTGGTATTGCGAAAAATGGACGTTTGTGCAGTAATGTTGCATGACAAAATGAAGAACAGAATATAGCTTTTCTGTAAGAAAATAAAGTGAAGCAACAGTCTGGATCGAAGTAAAATAGTCCAAATGTTAGCGAATAGCCCTTTGCAAATCATCTTTATTTCTGTGCAGAGTCCTTGGTGTTGCCATCTGCCTCGTCCGACCTGGACAAGATCCAGCAGCCGGTGAAGGTCATCCTCTCCAGCACGTGTCATCACGCTTACACCGCCTGCAAGTGAGTAAAAACCCCGCGACCGTTCTCCAGGCTAACCTGTAACCGTCTCGAAGGTATTTTTACGAAGTTCGAAGGTAGACTAATTTCCTCCGGGTAGATAAACCTAACTGCGATACGCGTAGACGACGGTTCATAGGGAACCGGCTCTTATCGTTCCGGACTCGCGCGCGATGTGAACCCCATTGCGTCTCGTTCCAGGAACGACCCGGAGTGCAAGGTGCTCCTGGAGCCGGTGCTGAATCACTGCGACATGACGAGCTGCGCGAGAAACGAGTGCATGGATGCTCTACAGAATTTCTACAAGTCGGCCAATCACAAACACTCCGTGGAAATAGCGTTCTGCCTGTGCAGGTGAGTCGTGGATAGGGACGAGCACAGTCTGATCGAGAAGCGCGCGATAGGGACTCCTAGGAAAGCATTTTCTTCCACGGAGATATGGAGGGCGAATGTCATTAGAGCCGGCGATACTCGAAACGAAATCTAGGAACGCGAACCTACGACGTTCTATGAAAGCCCTCGGTAGGCTATGGAGGTTCCGGGAGATCTCCAGAGACTTCCAAGGTTCTTTGAAACTTTTTTAGGACCACTTCGATACTGAAGGGCTCAATAGTGGTCTTTAGAGACCTGTGATAGACATCGAAAATATTCTAGGATCTTCGAAGAGCTTTCAAGATTCTATGGAGACGCTTCGAAATCTTTAGAGGACTTTGAGGATTTTATAGAGGTCGCTAAGAATGCATGGAAGGTCGATAGAATTTTATTTTATTTTAGCATCGAGGAGCCTTTATAATAGATCCAAGATTTTATAGAGACCTCTGGGGACATAGAAAATTCGTAGACTTTTTGGAAATGCGGTGAGTGCTCTCCGATTGTTTACAATTGTAAACAAAAGTGGACAATTTGGGAAGAGGAGATACCGATTATTTTAGCATCGCGGCTCGTTCTATTATAAAAATGAGCCGCGAGGATCGAATAATCGTATCTCCTCTTCCCAAATTTTCCATTTTTGTTTACAAGCTGACGGACAATTACTGTACTTGGAATCTTCTAGACCACTTTTAGGTTTTTAAAGTGGTCGTTTGGAGTACATATAGCATCTCTAGAATTTTTTCGAAGGACTGAGGATCTTTAATAATAGCTCTAGGATTTTATAGAGACCAGGGAGATCTGAAAAATTCTCGGTCTCTTTGGAAATACTTGGAAACCTTCGAAGGGCTATGATGACTTTTGAGAGATCTTTAGGAGTTCGTAGAGGATTTCTAGAATCTTTGAGAAGCACCAACGAGACTTTAGAATAGCTCTAGGATCTTGTANACATCGAAAATATTCTAGGATCTTCGAAGAGCTTTCAAGATTCTATGGAGACGCTTCGAAATCTTTAGAGGACTTTGAGGATTTTATAGAGGTCGCTAAGAATGCATGGAAGGTCGATAGAATTTTATTTTATTTTAGCATCGAGGAGCCTTTATAATAGATCCAAGATTTTATAGAGACCTCTGGGGACATAGAAAATTCGTAGACTTTTTGGAAATGCGGTGAGTGCTCTCCGATTGTTTACAATTGTAAACAAAAGTGGACAATTTGGGAAGAGGAGATACCGATTATTTTAGCATCGCGGCTCGTTCTATTATAAAAATGAGCCGCGAGGATCGAATAATCGTATCTCCTCTTCCCAAATTTTCCATTTTTGTTTACAAGCTGACGGACAATTACTGTACTTGGAATCTTCTAGACCACTTTTAGGTTTTTAAAGTGGTCGTTTGGAGTACATATAGCATCTCTAGAATTTTTTCGAAGGACTGAGGATCTTTAATAATAGCTCTAGGATTTTATAGAGACCAGGGAGATCTGAAAAATTCTCGGTCTCTTTGGAAATACTTGGAAACCTTCGAAGGGCTATGATGACTTTTGAGAGATCTTTAGGAGTTCGTAGAGGATTTCTAGAATCTTTGAGAAGCACCAACGAGACTTTAGAATAGCTCTAGGATCTTGTAGAAGCTTCTACAGACATCTGGTACGATTCCAAAGTTCTGTGAAAACACGAAGAGACATTTATAAGACTTTCGGGATTCTAGAGGGACTCGAGAATCTCTAACGAGCCACAATCAGTTTTCTTAAACCTTCGGGGATCTTCGGAGGCGTTTTCAGCTCTATATATGTCCTTAGAGTCCTCCAGAAGGCCTTTTATTATTATAACGGCTCTTAAGATTATCCAAGGAATATTCAGATTTTCCTCGAAGCGTTGGAGGTGCTTCTAGAAAACCTCGCAGACTTCAATGGACGTCCTCAGCGAGCTCTATGGAGCCATCAATTTTTATAGAGGTTCTTAGGGGCCTATAGCTTGTGTTCAGATTTTTCTTCGAAAGCCATAGACCTTGTATAGCATCTTCGAGTTCGAATGGAGGCACTTAGACACTTCTAAAGGACCTTCGAAATTTTGCAACGGTCCTCGGAGAATCCCGGCTATTTTAACAATTTTTAAGAACCTCCAGCGAGCGTTTAAAAGTTTTTCGGCTCGCCGACGAATCCCTGCAGAATCCTCAGGATTAAACGCGAGCCCTTGTGGATTTTTAAGAGACATTTGGTCCGCATAGAGGCTCTTAGGGACCCGCAAGGGGCATTCACAGGGCTCTATTAAAGACCCTTAAGTTCTCCTTTGGTCGTTAATCCTGCAAAGGGTCTTATTAAGGGCGTTTCAGCTATGTTAATTGCCGAACGAAATGCATAACGTATGTTATTGAAGGATTTAATTAAAACGGTCGGTCTTTGTGCGTCACCCCATAATCCTAAGTAAACCGATTTGAAAAGCGAGAGAGACGGAGACGTGGGCGAGAGTGGATCTAGTGATTTAACAAGAGTGCACTCTCCCTGACAAAGGTCTGTCCCCAGAAATACCTTAAGTTCTGCATCTCTGATCCCTTTATGCGAACGATACGTTCCGACAGACGTTTCTTTCCCCGGGAAGAAGATCCTTTAACTTTTAAGTGGCTTTCGGCCACGAAACAATGCGGAAACTTTCTACCCGCTATGCCCCCATTTTTGCGGCCCCTTTCCCCGCGCTCGCCTCTCATTCTCCTGGCATTATTCTTTTGTCCGGACGGAAGACGTCACCGGCCACCCCCGGAATTTATCAATTCCGAAGTAGGCTCTCGTTTGTACACCGGTCTCCCGATTTATTACCATTCCCGAGAATTTCAACGTGAGATCTGCGATTCTCGGCCGGCCTCCCAAATGAAAAATAAAATAAAATCCACCGGCAAAATATCCAAAAGGATATCCTGGATGTTTTTACACGTTCTTCGAGGACTGTTAATCAATGTGTCCTCTTGGTTTCGTGGAGATATCGAGTGCATTCATTTATTTTATATTCTATTGAAACATATTAACTCTTTGCACTCGAAGCTACCTGTAACTACAGGATAATTCGGATCAAAACAGGATCCCGTAATTATGTATACGCTCGGAAAGGAGTGATTCCTGAGGTGATTTGAAGCAACTTTTTCCTTAGCGAAAATGCAATCCGCGGCTTCGTTTACGAGTTATTAACGAAAAACGCTGACCAGTGAGAGACGAGATCAGCTGGCGCGAGGCGGCCGAGCCGACGGCGCCAGCGGTCGAGCCAACGGCGCCAGCGGCCGAGCCAACGGCCGAGCCAACGGCGCCAGCGGCCGAGCCAACGGCGCCAGCGGTCGAGCGGTCGAATCCCAATTCCGCTGATTGATTCTGCCGCCTCGCGTCAGCTGATCTCGCCTCTCATTGGCCAGTGTTTTTCGTTAATAACTCGTAAACAAAGCCGCGGATTGCATTTTCGCTAAGGAAAAAGTTGCTTCGAATGACCTCGGGAATCATTCCTTCCCAGGTGTTAACATAATTGTGGGACGACTTGTATAAATTATTTGGAAATTCGCCGAAATTAATCGAATTATTTGTCTAAATTTGTACGTCCTAATTTTATGCGCACGAAATTGTGTCTCGCATCTCGTGCAACAGTTCGTTAAATGTAAACGAAAATTATTCTGTTTCTGCGGGACGATTCTCATGGCCGGTTACACGAAATGTCCTTTGTGTTAACAAAATTCCGATCGCGATTGCTTTGTTCATACATTTGATATTCTGCAGAAATATATATATATTTACATATACGGTGATTATAATTAGCCAATTTATCGACGCGTGCAATAGAGTTATAACGACTACTTGACAAACGGTTGTACGGGCCACAAAGTGAACGGTGGTGGATAACAGAAACGCGGTCTTTCGCTTTTCGATGCATCCGGAAGAGCGAGTGACAAAGGCGAAGCGGAAACAGCTCCCACCATGGTGCCTCAGATGGTGTGATTATTCGTCGCGTTTACAACGGTTGACGCGACAATGCGCGTTCGTATCGCCAACGTTATATCTATTAAAATATGATGAAAATAATTACGAGAAACATCCCACGCGCTTTGTATCGCTCGACAAACGTAGATTGAGAAATTCAGTATTTCGTGTTTACAAGGAACCTGTCAAATTGCGAAAGTAATAATTACGCGACTAAATATTATGAATATTACGAATATTATAAATATTATGAATATTGAAAATCAGACTCTTGGGTGCGAATGTTGACTCGTCGACGACACGTAATTTATTATGTGCGCTGCAACAGTCACACAATCTAGTTCTCTCAGAAAAATCTTATCGAACCCTCAAAGAGTTAGCCTATTCGAAAATTCGTACTTATTCGCCAAGTAGTAAACAACGCTTTAAAGAAGATATAAAATGACGAATGACATTGGAAACGATTATTTCACAAATTTATAAACGAATTCACTGTAAATTCATAAATAAATTTNTATTATGTGCGCTGCAACAGTCACACAATCTAGTTCTCTCAGAAAAATCTTATCGAACCCTCAAAGAGTTAGCCTATTCGAAAATTCGTACTTATTCGCCAAGTAGTAAACAACGCTTTAAAGAAGATATAAAATGACGAATGACATTGGAAACGATTATTTCACAAATTTATAAACGAATTCACTGTAAATTCATAAATAAATTTGAT